GGCCGACTTGCAGGGCCAAATTGCCGAGAAGACCGCTGAGTTGGAGAAAGCAAAGGCTGAGGCTGTGACTTATTCTGAAGAGAAGAAGGCCTATGAGGCCGAAGTGGCGGATCTCAAGGCGCGCTTAGCCGTGGTAGAGCAGCATTTTAAAACATCCGAAGTCAAGCTGATGGAGACCGAGAAGGCCTTATTGGAGGAAAAGGCTAATCATGAAGCAGTTCGGAAAGAATGCGCTGAGACTCGTGAACTCGTGGGTAGGCAGCACGATGCTCATCAGGCTGACATAGCCAAACTTGAGAAGGAAAAATCTGCTTATGGAGAGTTCATGTACGAGAACGGATATCAGGCTGGGAAAGATTCGGTGATTGTGGAGCCGAAGTCCGGAGATAACGCCGAGGTGGATGCTGATGTGGCCGGCGAAGAGGATGAAGCCGGTGGTCCCGACCTCGAGATTGAGATGAACACATGTCTGAACTTAAGGTGGATCATCGAACGCTATGATGCCGGCTACTACAATATCGATGACTTCCGCTTGTTTCTTTTCCATAAGCTGGAGAAGTACGGGTTCGATTCAGAAATAAAAGGAATGCATGTTGCGGCTGATGAAGATGAGCGAGAATTTTGTGTATGGATGCTCCGCCGTTCAGAGGAGGTGAACCCCGACTTGCCAGCACTCTCCGAAGATAGGGCTGCTCTCCTCCGACGTGCCTACGTCAACATGATTTTGGAGGAGGAGAAAGAAAAAAGGAAGGAGCTGGTTGATGTGTATCTTTCCACTCTCGCCGAAGTAGAAGTCGAACAACACTTTGATGATATGACTCCGGAACAGATTCGGGACAGGGTCCATGCCTTCATTGATGAAAAAGCTAAGTCGGCCGACAAGGAGGTGGAGTTTGTGAAGACCGTCACGCCGGCTGAGGATGAAGTGAGGAGGTTGTCTGATCCTCGCGACGAGTTCATTCCGGTGCCAGATGGGGCCATTGAAGCTGCTGTTAAAGCAAAGGAATCGCAGGTCTTGGAGCGATTATCTTCTGGTTTTGAAGTCGGAGAAGGCAGCGGCTCCGGAGGCAATGTGGAAAAACCGGCTGACGATGCTTAGGATATATTGCTTGTTTTGTTTGTTTTTGAATGTTCTTGGAGTATTTTGGGTTATGTAATCGGGGTGTCGACACGTCGGCATCCTTAGTAGGAAATATTTCTAAGTTTATGGTGTGTAATCGGGGATGTTGGATAGCCGACTCCCTTAGTAGGAAATATGAAATATTATGTAAGGGATTCCCCGGATTTCGAAATAACATTATATATGAAGTGTTTGAATATGTGTGATTTTGTTTGTATGTTTTGCTGTATAAATTTCAGCAATTTTTCGACCAAGTGTTTTGAATTCGGTTTTTAGAAAGCAAATTGCTTCAACTCGGAATTACTTAAATCGTGATCCGAGTTGTAAGTTTTTTTTATAAATATAACTTCCGAATTCCACTTTGATCATTTATTAGAATTTCAGCCACAAGTGTGAGTCGATTATGCGAGTTTTCAGATAACTTCGCAAAACTCAACGCATTTTTAGGGCTGTACGGGAAATAAAATGGAAGTCACCGGACTTCGTCAGAGTCCGATTATGGAATGGTCCCAACCGAATTATTTGAATAAGTGTTCGGTTATTATCGGGACCCGCCAAATCATGTTTAGCTGAAGTGGCATTTGACGAGCTTCAACCCCGACCAAACCATACGTGGGATTTGGGTGTATTACAGGATATCAGCTAGGCCGAGTGTCGCAATGTTTACTTCGGCATGATATTGATAACCATGTTAAAAAGGTTTACATCGGTATCAAGCTTGCTGCTCGACTATTCAGTACATCAGTACATCAAAAGAGGTGCTTTCAGGCATTCACCGAGGCAAAAGAGAAGGTCCGTATAAAAGGGAGGTCGATTATGCGACTTCGGATCCTTCATTGATAGAATTTTTTCAGGTACACCGCGTTCCAAGGATATTGATGTGGTGTTCCATCGGGATGAGCAATTCGGTAGGCCCCATGAGGTAGGATCTTGATGATTTGAAAGGGTCCTTCCCACCGCGGTTTGAGTGGTCCGGGGTCAGGCCCCATGATACGCTTGAGGACCAAATCTCCAACTCGGAATGTACGGGGCTTGAGTTTAGAGTTGATATATTTTTCATGTCTTTGATTGTATGCAGCATTCTTGAGTTCGGACCGAATTCGGTGTTCTTCTAGTAGGTCCAGATTCGCCTTCATGTTTTCCGAGTTGGCTTCTTCGGTGAAATGCTGAATTCGGTAAGTCGGTTCTCCGAGTTCCACCGGGACTACGGCCTCGGAACCGTAAGTCAAAGAAAATGGGGTTTCGCCGGTGGACGTCCGTGCGGTAGTCCGGTAAGCCCACAGGACATGTGGTAACTCTTCGGGCCAGGCTCCTTTAGCGGCGTCAAGTCGAACTTTGAGACCATTTTTTATGAGTTTGTTTACGGCTTCGACTTGACCGTTGGACTGCGGATGGTAAGGAGATGAAAAGAAGTGTTCGATGTTGTATTCCTCACACAGAGATTCAAGTCGTTTGCCTTCAAACTGTTTGCCGTTGTCGGTTATGATGGAATTCGGTACACCGAAGCGACAGATGATTGACTTCCATACAAAATCTACAACCTTCTGTTCGGT